TTGTGTGACCTCCAATTCGGTAACTTTGCAGCGGGTCGACCCAACGGGTGTGTGTGACCCATTTTTCTTAGTGGATCAGGATCAAAACAGGTCATGGATCAACTCGTTGGTTGACAGCCTTTCCCATCTCAAGTCTCTCTTTCTCTCCTTTTTTCTTTTCTTTCCCCATAAAACTCTTTCTCTCTCCATTCTCTATCTCTTCTCATCCACCTAACTCTTCCTCCTAAATCCATGTCTAGGTAGGGCAACGGGTCGGATCAGGGGCGGATAGTTCATATCTGTTACCCTACTCAAACTAGTTTGTGTTTTACTCATTACCCACAGCAGGTCACGGGTCAACCAATGGGTCGACCCGTTGGTTGACAACCTTTCCCATCTCAAGTATCTCTCTCTCTCTCTCTCCTTTTTCTTTCATTTCCCCATAAAACTCTTTCCCTCCCCAATCTCTATATCTTCCCATCCACCCAACTCTTTCTCTAAAAATCATGTATAGGGATGGCAACGGGTCGAGTCAGGGGCGGGTAGTGCATATCTGTTACCCTACCCAAAGTAGTTCGGGTTTCGCATATCCATGATTATCGCTGGGTAGTAATTTCTCTTTATGACTTCAACCAACATGTTAACATTTACATCGGTTTCGGATATCCCATGGATACCATATAAAAATCAGGTAAAAAATCGAAATCGTGCTCATACTCCACCGCATTTCGGAAAGCCATGGTTATCCATGGGTAATAATTTTCTTTATAACTTCAACCAACTTGTTAAAATTTACACATATACTCACATTACATAAGTGGAAAAGTACGATAGTAATTCACTAGAATGAACAAAATTAATTTCAAAGAACACAATATGATGAAAATATTATATTTATATGCTAAATATAAACTTTGTTGAGAAAATACTCATTTCTAAATAAATTACATATGCATGTATATAATCTGGCGAGTTCGGATTGGAAAGTGAGAAAATCATGACCACCCATTACCTCGCAATATTTCGGGTTCGTGTTCCGAAATAAAAGCAATAGAGCTCACCTAAGGTTACTGAAGTCCTCTCTGCAAGTTTTCGTATAGTGAATGCTGAACTCCGTCGCCATAAATTACCTCTCTCTCTCTCTCTCTCTCTCTCTCTCTCTCTCTATATATATATATATATATATGGGGAGTTCTACGGTACCCAGGGTGAAATCCCGGGTACCGCATACCTTGAGTAAGAAAACGCTATCCAGAACTTGAATTGGCTGATCTTTCGGACATGATACTATACTCTAACCCTTAAAGATCAACATCTAGGTCTTAATTCTCTAAATCTTATACCCCAAGATCAATTTAATTAGAAACAATAATCAACTGTTATGATTCCTCCAAATATAGGCAAAAAAATCAATGCACCATCTTAGGGTTTATAGTTTATGATTTAGATAATTAGGACCTAGGGTTCACTTATTAAGGGTTAGGTTATAGTATCATGCCCAAAAATCCTGCTAATTCGAGGTCTAGATAACGTTTTCATACTCAAGGTATGCGGTACCCCGGATTTCACCCGGGGTACCGTAGAAGGCACCATATATGGGTCACACTCATATGTTCCTGACGCATCCAGATTTTCTACACTGTTAATCTAATCTAACGGTACAATATTAATTCCCTTAAAACTATTAATTAATAATTATAATGACGAACTACACCTACTAAAATTTTATGCATACAGTATAGTACCCTAACAATTTTAATCATTAATTTTTACAGGAAACCACATTATTTCATCTTGAGATAATATAAGGTTCCTAAATTTTATAAATTTCTTTCACGATTAGATTCCCAAGTTTAATTTTTTTTTCTCTGAACAACACCACCCCTGTGAGGCTACGAACGCCCATCATCCCCTTCTACGAATTCTGATTCATTCACCTCCGGCCGCCTCGAGCTCAACGGCTCCAAGATCCAGCTGGGCAACACCAACCTCGATCATCCATGTGACCGTAACCGTTTTCTCTCTCACCCCCACGCAATCAGCCTGGCGAAGGGGCCTTCAATTTCAATTGCTTCCGTTTGAGGACTTCCCGTTGCCGCCAGAGCTCGCTCTACAAAGCTGCTCCCCCAGTCTACCCCCTTCACTTCCTATTGTTCGTCTCTGCCCGCTGCTTGGGCCGATCACCGATTCGCCGTCTCTCGATCTCCGCTCACTGCTAATCTTGTTGCAAGGTGGTTAGAGAACGGCTCCCCACTTCCTCCTTTCCCTCACCCTTCCTGGCTCCTGCTCCGCTTAAACTCCAGAGTCCAGATGTCCCCAATTCGCCTCCAACGCCACCAGCACTCTTCATTAGAAGCCTCCCGGCCGCAGAACCCTCTCTTATGTGGGGCTCGGGCATCGGAATTCGTCGCGTGCCGTCTCTCTTCGGCGCGGGAATTTGTTCGTGTTTTCACTTTTCCCTGCTCTGACTGAAAATGGCGGAATTGAAAGGAAGAGTTAATCTAGGCGCTGAGGCAGGTGCCTCCCGATGGCTCCCTGCTTCTCGATGCATGTGGTTTCGAAGTCGAACTATGCTGGGTTGATGGCGGTCACAAAGCTGCCACCGCAAATTTGTCCAACGGATGGGAAGAAAGAGTTATTGAGGGAGAAAGAGTATCAGTTTATCAGAGGTCATTGTGGTTGGAATTGGAGAAGTTTCAGTTAGGAGGTTACACCTTCCGCATCGTTAAGCTTGCTAGGAGTGAAATGAAAACCTTCCGCATCTTCAAAGGAAACTCAAGTAATCTAACTAGTATCATTTTGATCGCAAGCTCAACAAACAGAATTGTATCAAACATAATCATTCATATGTAATGGAATTCATCAAAGGACAAAGATAACGACATGCAACTTCGTCCAAAATCTGTGATCCCCGACCCCGGTAGAAAAGCATTCCCCTAAGAATCTCCCTTGTCACCAAACCACTGACATTGGGTGAGAGCGTCACATGACCAGTCAAGCTGCAACTCCCCATACTTTTGGTAGCTGAAAGGTCAAAGCGGAGGCATGAGTGAGGGGGACTTGCACAGTTGCACTCGGGGAGTAGAGGGCAAAGGAGGATCAGAAGGAATTGACCCGCTGTGGAATTCCTTCAAGAACATAGTTGAGGAACCCGACTTCTACAATAGTTAAATCACCGTACCCACTTTGCTGATGATTTCTTCTGTCCCTTCTCCGATCACCCAATCGTTGTTAGTTAATCTTGCTGGTGGGCACAATTTTACCCGCTCAGGAGCAAACAGGAATCGATTGATATCCGGCGCCGGATAGAACGACGCATATGGGTCCCGACAACGAACGACCTCCTTCTTCTTCGACGTCTCCGGCAATCGACGACGAGTCCCGTCAGCGACGGCGGCACCGCAGGATTTAGGGCTGGAGTGCAGGGATGGAACGGCGGTAACGAAGGAAAGATGGGATGAATTGTTGGACGTGCGTTTCTGCCTTTCTGGGGAGTATATTTATTTTTTAGGGAAGATGATTATGTGAAGTCAACTTGCATGAGTATATAATTGTTTTGGTTGGAGGATGAAAGGATCGCCATCGTATAAGAGTTTGGAATTTAATCGTAGAAAAAATGAAACAGATCTTCATAGACAACAATCGCAAATGTGGGTGTTAGAAAAAATGACTAAAAGAATTAGGTCTTATAAACAAAATATAATGGTAAAATTTGCTGGGATCATATTGCTTGTATAATTATTTAAGGGGTTCATGTAGTAATTATAATTATTTATAATTAATTGATTTAATTAGAATTAATAATGAGCGTTAGATTAGATCAACGGTGCTAGAATCTGGAGCATGCTATGTGTCTGGAGCATATGAGTCGTATCCATATATATATATATATATGGTGACGTCTTCTGTGCACTCACTTTTTTGAGTATATTCAGTGCACTCGCTTCATAACCGTCTTTTTAAACATGCGGTTTAGGTCAAAATGATGTCAATCATCACTTATAATGTGATGAACAATAACACACATGCATTTGCACAAAAACCATTACAAATTTACTTTAATTTGGAGGATTTGGAGTTTATAGATTTAGGGTTAGGGTTAGGGTTTACAATTTGTGATTTAGGGATAAAACTCAAAATTGGAGTTCTAGGGCTTAGGGTATCCGCTAATTAGTTGTTATCATATGTTATATCATCATATTACACTAATTCTACATATTAAAATTCAAAATCCGACACCTTAAAACTAGTTTTTGAGTGGGTGCATTGAACGCACTCATTTTTGTGAGTGCACCGAAGTAGTCACTATATATATATATATATCATTCACCTCCCGCCCAACTACATTACCTTTCCCCATTGTCGAGGGCACTAGCATGTGAAATCTACTTGTCTTCACCATTTTGAATCACCAAAATTGTTTTGCCATTTTTTCCGCACACTATTTTCATTTACCATTTTGACTAAATTGTAAAAGGAAAAGCATCAACACATGGCGAAAGCTTATTGAATGGCTGGTTTTTGGCCCTTACACAAAGATGCACTTTTCTTTATTTGATTTTCTATCATGGAGGGCACTAGCATGTGAGATCCACTTGCCTTCACCATTTTGAATCACCAAATATATTTTTACCATTTTTTCCACGACACTATTTTCATATACTGTTTTGACTAAATTGTAACAAAAAAAAAAGCATAAGACATGTTTTTGCCCTTACACGATTATGAAATGTTAAGTGTTGAGGTTATAACTTTTTCACCCGCATCGTATCAGCAGGTTATATCGATCAAATCACGATTTTGTAGTTATACATCTACGACGACGCGATAGTACAGACGCAACCTTGATGGACAAAAATAACTTACAGCTCCAGAATTCAATTTAGTGGACACCATCAGTCGGTCAATCGGGTTCATATGTCACTCATATATGCTAAAGTATTTCTTTCTTTCTATCCTCCAACGAAAGATGAAATTGTGTTGTTTATTAGAAATCCCGGACTATGAATTGATTGACAAATCTATTTGCCGCACATGTTGGTGATCGCTAGGCAAATGTTGCACAATTGGGTGAACACTTCATTGGTCTGCGTCATTGGCGACTTAACCGCAGGAGGCTCCTTGAACCCATCCTCGCACGACTCCACGTCCTGCACCGCGGCTGTAATGAACGTGATCACGTCGTCGTACACCTTTGAATCGAGCGCGGGCATGGAGTCCTCGAGCTGATCGATGACGTCCTGGTAGTTCTCGGCGCAATCGTTGAGTCGCTGCTTGGTCACGTCGTCCGTGGCCGGGTTGTGCTCCATGGTCTCGATCAGGTCGTGGGTCTTGCTCGCGTTTAGGGACGTCATCTTGATCGCGAACTTCGCGAGGGCGTGGATGTCCTTCACCTCGGATTCGGGGAACGAGGCGAGGAACGACCTGCAGAGGTCCTTGGTGAGCGGGGTGCTGTCGCAGGCTTTGGCTAAGAGCTCTGGTTTGGTCATGGTTGGACCTGCAGCTGGAGCTGAGGCAGAGGTTGAGGGTGCAGGGGCAGCTTGTGGTGCTTGGGCATGAGCTTGGTGGCATGCTGTGATGGTGATGAGAGCAAGGAGGAATGTGGAGATGGAGGGGCAATCCATGTTTAATGTTTTGTTTCCTAGGAAAGTTGTGATCTTTGGATAGTTTTTGGGTTGAATGGGGAGGGGAGCTGGTTTTAGTGGTGTTGGATTGAATTGGGTTCTTATAAATTATTTGGGTTAATATTGGTTATGAGAAACGGAAGTGAAGAGGAATTGTTGGTTTGTCATTCAGTAGCAAAAGAAGCGCTTGGCCATTTGTTTCGTTGCTTTGGATCGTTCAACAGTTTGAACTAATTAGAAAGGGGGGAAAAAACAAAGATGTGTTGTCGTCATTACCAATTCTCGTTTTTCTCCAAGTATAAAGTATAAACTTGTTAATGTGTCAAAAATAGATTCCACCTTATTTTGAATTGATCAATTATACTAAAATTAAGGGTTCCGTTTTCTTGTCAATTTCTTTCCATCCACAAACTCTTTTTGTTACATTCTCCTATTTTTTTGAAATAAAAAGAGGATTAACTTGAGCTTATTGTTACCTTTTCATTTTTCATATGTCTAATAATTAATTATTAATTAATTAGGGTAGACGTTACCACACTTTTTTTAGCATAATTTAGTTAAGCCGGACTAGCAACATTCTAACTGAGCTAAGATTTGTTTTACTGGATTTGTGATTTTCCAAGACCTACATGAGAATCCATGGAACAATTTCTAAATACTCATCTCGTTCTAAGATCCATATCTATCGTTTAAGTTTTGGCCCAATTTGAAGACTCAAGTAGGATGGTAATTTACTTATCTAATTTGGTTGGGTTGGGTACAAATCCAAATACAATATTAAGGAGTCGTTTGGAGAATATGATTCAACGTTTGAATTTGTTGAATCCGTAGATTTTGTAAAAAGTCATGTTTTTTTGTTGCTTTTTATAATGTGGATTTTACTTTTAGAGATTTCAAATCTCTAAAATTTATGGATATCAAATCTCTTATAATCAGAGAAATTCTATGTCTTGATTCGTGAGATTTTTTTCCTCCTACATTTTCTCTTCTTTTTATTTATTTATCACATTAAATATATTTATCAACAAAATTTTTAATATTTCTCGAACCAAACTAATTTCTTATTATTAAGGATAAACATGCTATTTAATATAAAATTAATTTTTTTTATTTTTTTTGAATGTTAACAATCATAGTTACCAAACAATGAACATTTTTAAATCTATTTTTAACAATCCGAAGATTTTGACAATCTACATATTCATACTAATTCTTATTTGGATTAAGTTAGATTGTGTTTGATTTTAACTAGGGGTGGGCAACGGGAAACGGGTATTTGGGTATACCCATACCCGTCCCGTTTTTTAAGGGTTACGGGTATCCATATTACCCGTAATATTATAAACATATGGGACTTGGGATTGTACATTCCTAATATGGGTACCCGCGGGTTACCCGCGAATACCCGTTTGGGTAATATGGGTACCCGTTATACCCATTCAAGACAAATGCAGAAATTGCCAGCCCAATTCAAAACCCATTGGTCATTTCGGCCCTTACCCTTTCAATTTCAATTCCATTTGGGCCCTTACCCTTTCACTCTTTCACTGACATGTTTGGTGAATTAGTAGAGAGAGTTGGGATTTGTTTGAAATGAGGCAACGAGTGTCCATTTACAGCATGGGATCATTGCGTACTTAATTAAGGAACTTGGATCATCCCAATATTGCTCCTAATTATTCTTCTTGCAGGACAGCAGCAAGTGAAGGACAGTTGAAGCTGCAGAAGGGAGAATGACAGCAGCAGCATGCAGAAGGGAGAACGGCATCAACATCAGCAGCCTGGAGAAGGCAGAACTGCAGCAGCAGCTTGCAGAAAGTAGCAGCATGCCTCCCATTTGGTTGTATTGAATGAAACTTCTTTTTTGATAATTTGATGCTTGGAATGATTTATTTCTATGTGTTGTGATTGTTCATGAATGTGTAATTTGCAAACCAAGTATTTGTGATTGGGATGTATTTTGTGTCTTGTGATTGTTAAGCAAATACAAGTTAAGTTTAAACTTTTGTTAAACTTTTAGTGGTTTAAACTTTGGGTATTTATGGGTAGTATGGGTACCCGTTATCTGTCCCGTACGGGTAATGGGTACCCGTTTTCCATATGTGTTTGGGATATGGGATGGACTTTGGTCTCCAAATGGGACTGGGTACCCATTTAAAACGGGACGGGTATCCCGTCCCGTCCCGTCCCGTTGCCCACCCCTAATTTTAACCCCATGAATTTGTGTTTTTTTCATACTTATTTAGAATTATAGTTTGGTACTCAAATTTAATAGATTGTATCATTTAATACCTACACCTAATTTTTACAAATAAGTCAAAAAATCTAAGTGAAATTACACTTATAATACCTAAAATTCTCTTGCAATTTAATACATGAAAGTTTATAATTTTAGAAATAAGTCCAATTTTTTTATGTGAAATTAAAACTAGGAAAAATACACTTCCATAGCCACAACTTTCATATTTGTGACAAATATAGGCACAATTATTGAAATACACAAAATATCCACTTTCGTCCAAAAATTTAATGGAGTAACCATGAATGCTGACTAGACTAACGCTTTTTGTTCACCTGGCAGTCAAAAATTATATTTATCTCTCAATTGGCTAAAGTGTCAATTAAAATATAAAATAATTAATATTTATTTTAAATTTTCAGATTTTTTTTTCACCACAGCCGCTGCAATCTGTTCATCTTCTTATTCCTCGACGGAGTAGAGGTATCGTCCGGCTCACACCCCGACCAACCCTCCTCATCGTCTGTCGTCGCGGCGGAGCAGGGAAAAAGAGCACAAAGAGAGCTCGAGGAAGTGTCGTAGTAGTCGTCGATGGGAGTTTTCGCGACAAGCTGGGTATCAGATGAAAATCCCCAAAAACCACTTTCAATTCCAACGGCTACTTGTAGGGCTAGCTGGTCCGACATCGTTTCAGGAAAGGCAAGTGTGTCAAGACCAACGACGTCGTCTCGAGACAAAGGGAAGCATAAGTTCAATAGGTCGTCGTTGTGACTGAGAGACGGAATGTCACTTTCATCTTCGTGTACTTTGGTTGCTCAGAACTCTGTTTTTCCTTTTCCTTTTGTTGTAATGGACAGCTCACTGAAGCTTGTCTTCTACCTCTGATTTTTGTATAAAAACCGTGAGATGATGAATGAGAAATCAAGTTAGGGTTTTACACTTCACACTTGGTATTACTGGGAGAGGAGTTTGGCGAGCATGGAGGATGATCTAGGGTTGAGATTTGGGTCATTGTCGTTGGAATCGTCGGGGTGTTCGAGGGAGCAAGGGGAATCGACATAACCCCTAATCCAGATCTGGTCCCTTGCCCTACTCATGGCTCACTGTCTTTGCTCACACAAACCAATCTCGTGCCTCTCTCTCCATAATAGATCTGTTCAGATCTGCTAGTCTGTTGCTTGTTTGCTGCTCTCCAAGAACAATCGTCGACAACTACAAACAGAGAGGTGGAGGTTCAACAATCGCAATCCACCGCCACTGTTGCTCCTCCTACGACCCACACTCCCACTTCCGCCATTGCTCTCGCCGACGCACCCACTGGCCGCTACCCCTACTCTGTCTCTCTGCTTCACTATCGTGATTAGCCGGAATTGCGAGGCTCTTTGTCTTTAAGGGTGGCGACTAGATTAGGGAGAGAAGGAGTCTAATTAAGGAGTGGGGTTGGTGGATTTGGATGAGGACATGGCTATGAGGAAGGGGATTTTATCTAATTAGAACAGTTATGGGTTAGAAGAACAGGGGTAATTGTTTTGGTTTCTGGGGAGATGAAGGGGAGAAAGAGTAGAAATCCTCAATTTTTGGGAAGAAAGAGGAGGGAAGTTGCGACTTGCAAAGGAGATGAGAGAGGAAAAATATTATTTATGTATTTTATAATTTAGAATTTAATTATATGTGGTGGCCACGTGGCCCGTATAAGCTTATGTGGGAGCTGAGGTGGCATCCACATCAGCATTTTATTAATATTACTTTTAGTGTTTTTAACGGCGTTAAAGTTTTTAACGGAAGTGGATAGATTTGGAAAACGTGTTTCTAAATTCTGGCTATTTTATGTATTTCGATAGTTGTGGCTATATTTGTCATAAAAGTGAAAGTTGTGGCTATGCAAGTGTATTTTGCCTTAAAACTATATCGGGGAAATTAGCTAACCCATACTCCTAATCACAAATACCCAACCCCATATATGCTTCACCTATACCCTGCCCATAATTAATGGGTTTGGATAAAACTACTCATGGGTGGTATCACATGCTAAACTATTCTGTGTGGCCTTAGCACTCAATTCTCGTTAGAGAGCTAAGTCGACATTGACTCAAGCTTGTTCAAACTCACAAGTATGAATATATCTAGATGATTTACCAATGAGGGGTAGGTGCTCTTTATATAGGTTTTACCTCCTAAATGGATGACTAAGATCAATCTAATCATGTGACTAAGATTGAGTCTCTAAACTCTCTTTACAAATATCTACTACCTAGAATTCTCTATAGAAAAATATGGATTATATGTATAATATGCCCCTCTGCTTTCTATTTTTCTCAAATATGCCTCAATACTTTGAATCACATTCTACTATTAGATACAGTTCAAACCTACCCTCCATTTAGTTTTTCGTCTCATAATCGTCAAATCCGGTCGAACTAAATCCGGGGCAACATCTTATCATTAAAATGGAAGGATAAAAGACTTTTGTACCCTTATATTGCTTAGCTTTCATCGCCAGAAAACCCTCTCGTTCATATCCCATCCCCTCTAACGATGAGACGCCAACTCTAACCCTTGATTTCCCAACCGCCCCACTTCTCCGTGTTTGATTGTCGTCACCACCACCACCACCACCCTCCCGTTG